TGGCCACAGTATTGGCTCTGCACCAATACTATAAGCAATAAGCGGTATCTAGCAACACATTATTGCCCCCAGATTATAAGTTAAGACGTTTGCACCGTCAAAACCTTTCCACGACTCAGACTCCGTGTAACTGTATCCCTTTGTCTCAATGTCTAAACTTAATGCAAGGGATTAATAAAATCCAGCTTGTATATATCCATTAAGTCATTCACTGATTTATCAAGTCTGACTAATAGGAACAGACGTCATAAAAGCATCTCAGCATGGCCATGCAATTTCCTTAGTCATAACTTATCAGTGGCCCCATAAGACATTAATCTCTTTAAAAAGAGTAGTGACAAATCCTATGTACGTAATCTACGTTTCTGAATACGCGCTGCGGCATACCCAAAACAAAGCCTGTATACCATCCTTATTTCATATGGCTTAGGACAATGCGTCAAAGCATGCGGGTTCACATATGCAGAAAACGTAATACTTCAAGTCGAAGGATAGTTACACCCGTGGTCGCGCTAAAGATGCTTAGAGCATGAACTAAAAGTTCAAGCAACATCTTTAGGATGGGTCAGTCCGGCATCCTATTATCTCTAGATAATATCTGCCCATGTGCGGATGCGAACACACCGTCATTGACTATGAGACTAAGTCGTCAAACATCCAACACACACTAGTCTCACATGCATTAACGATATCCCACTCTCGTTAATACTCGACTATGGACATTTAGATAAATATTTATTTTAAGATGTTAGTCTCATCAGCAGAAGAACACTATCTGATAAACATCTTTTAAATATAAATCTAGGAATATAATATTTGTTTACATTAGCATGAGATGTGTAAACATATTATATCTGCCTATACATGATAGAATAACGATAAACAGTTGGCCATCAGGGCACAACTCCAACACACTATTCTTATAACGGCTGTTTACCTCGTAAAGAGGGGTTTTTCGGTTACAATCTTCAGTCTCATCTATGTTTTTGGCTTGCGGTTTCTCTTTGTTTTTGGAGTACTACTTTGTTGCTTCCTTTGCCTGAAAATTTTGGTGCTAAACTTCCCAATATTAAATTAGATTCAGTTTGTTTGATCTTTTAATTTATTAGGCGGGAAGGTAACTTCCCTGCTTATTACTCCGTATATTATTTTGCTAGTAGATAGTAGAATTGAGAGTTTAGAGAAAATTTGGTTAAGATCCTATCCACCAGATATCCTGTATGTATTCCGTGTGACTCGTTAATAATAAAATATTTCAATTCCGTTAGCCGTGCAAAAAAAATATAATGTACACCTTTACCTTATCCTTACATGCACATAAAATTGAAGGGTGACACCTGGCCTGTTTCTATTAGAATTGAAGAAGATTTTAAAGAATAAAAAATGGTTTGAGTAGATGCCTAGGGCTGGTAAGTACACTATATAGAAGATGGTTATTCTTGACTCTTAGGACTAAAGAGGAAAACTGAGTGGTACCCTCTGGTATGGAACAAGCATCAAATGCTCCGGCCAATGGCTTATTTCCAAAGGGAGAATTAGCACCAAAGCTAAATTTGATAAATGCATAAGTAATGACAAAACCTGTGACATTTGGGGTAAGGCAGAGGAGGACATTGATCATCTTTTTAGTCAATATCGATCAAGCCACTACTATTTTACTCAAACGATTGTTTCCTTGGCTTAACTGTGATATTGAGGGAGGTAAGGTGAAGGATATCCTGGAAAAGCTTATGAAGATTAAGGGGGAGAGAAGACTGAAATGTGTAGCTATATATATATATATATATATATATATATATATATATATATATATATATATATATATATATATATATATATATATGCAATAGCCTGTTACAGCCTTTGGAAGTCAGGGAACAAGCTCTTACACAACAAGAAAAAAACAAATGAAGATGAGATGTTTAGTTGGGTAGTTTTTCATCCAACAACTTTTTGGGAAAGAAGGAAGAGGAAGGGTGTTATGTAGAGTTTTTTGTGTTTATTTTGTGGTTTAGTGTTTCAATTAGTTTTGGTGGCTCTAATGGCACATCTTTAATGATGAATGAAGTTGTGCTTTTCGTTAAAAAAAACGAAATTTTCTTCACACATCGTACTATAACTCAACATCACGAGAGGGTCCCATCAATATGAATAATGTATGATTGCCAAATGCCACATATGTTTTGCTCGAGAAAATGAAAAAAGAAAATATTACTCTCATTCTAGAGTATTTGTTTATATTTGACCTTTTGCGGCCATAATAGATAAATTTTAACCATTGATTATATACATTTTATATTAGGTATTGATACACGAATTATTTTATTAGATTTATCTTGTAAAATATATTCAAAAATTTGTTTTACCTTATCAATAGAACATGCAATTTTTATGTAATTATAGGCCAACAATCAATACTAGTCAAATGCCGAAAGAGAATTATAGGAGGGAGGGGTTAAATACTTAAATGGTATGCCGAAGGAGAAGTAAACTCACTCATATAAAACCAAAGCAGAAAATGATAAAATGAAAGAAGAATAGAGGTCACTATCTTGATGTATGGGCTTAATTATTAATGAATAATAAATAATTCATGCCAGCCTTTTTCTATACCTCACATGCAATGTGACATACAAAATGGAGATGGAGTTTTAATTTGCTTTCTTAATTGAATTGGGAAGGTCGTCAGTCAGTCATCGTGTCCGCCGCCGACGCAACAGA